TAGAAGCAATGTACTTATATTCTCAAAATGTTTCTTTTACTAGTTTACAAGCTCATAAAGAGGAGGTTGCAGAGGGAAGTACATTGTACTACCCTAAAACTTCCGGCCTTTTGGGGTACGTACCACAATTTTTTTTTTTTAAACACAATAGGAACATTTGACATGTGATCAGGGATAGCAGTCTGAAAGTGAAAGAAATATCCACAAAAGTATAGATAATACTTCCTCAGGGAAGGATGCAGATCTTTTCAATTCATTGTATTTGTTTGTTATGAAATGAAACATGAATTGTGTCTGCAAGCATCATTCCGGGAAAAAATGCTTTTCTTTTTTTTGTTTTCTTTTCACCCAAATATGCCTACTGAGTACTCACTTCGATTTAAAGTACCCTACATGTATATCAAATTGTATGTTCTCAATGCTCCATATTCTGATTGACATTGTACATTAAAAGGAAGGGGCAGTTAGCTTGCAGGCAAAAACCCTTGTCGGTGTGCAAAACAGTGTATGCAAAATGAGACTACACTGCGCTCTGTACTAATGCTGCTCTGGCCACAGCCAGAAACTGGCAGATCTGGGCTCTGCTCGAGGCTATTAAAGATAAAGACCAGTTATGGCCATGCGATCACATTGTAAAAGAAACGTCTTTGAATCGATCAGAAAAGGTTGATCATCTAGCATATCAAGTATTGGTACAAATGTGTGTACTGCAAGGTTCTGGAATCATCAAAATGATAAGAAATTTGGCCCAGTCTTGGTAAAGTTACAAGCACTGTACACAGAAAGATGCTTGACTTGGAGATACGAAGGTCGAGGGTTCGAATCCCGACACCGGCACTAATATCCTTTGGCAAGATATTAACCTGCACTTGCTACTCTCCACCCAGGTGTTAAATGGGTACCCGGTAGGATGCGACCGTCATTGGCTGTGTTCATGCTTAAATTTTGAAGGCAGAATGAGCGATCTGAAACGCTCATCGTAAACGCTCATCGTGATCGCAGTTCCACGATGTACTGTTCATGCTTACTTCTCTGGCTCCCCCAGGCAATTCTCCGTGTGTGGCCTTAATTGGTCTTCCAACTGTGCATGCTACGTAGACCCACTAGAGGTCAGTGCGTTGACCCCATTTACAAATTGTAAACGCATCTTTTTGTGAGTTTACGATCGGTGATCGTGATCGCCGTTTTTCGGTGATTCTACAAAAGTGAGCATGAACGCAATCATGTTTTAAACTAAACGCGTAACAGATGCCTGATTCTGGCCGTCAAAATCAAGCATGAACGCGCCCATTGTTGGTCAAACAGTTTTTGAGCGTCATGTAACGCCTGGCTGGAATGCTCCCCAGGGAGTGGAGATTGTGCACACGTTGTGTGCGGGCAAGCAATGAATCCAATGACCGGGGTAATAGTACATTGTGTATATTTGTAAAGCGCTCAGAGACATTGAATTAAGCGTTATATAAAAATTAAATATTATTATTATTATTATTTCTCTGCAAAATTTGTATGATCACATATTCAATAGTTAAAACATATTCTTTCACTTAATAGGTAATAAGAGCTTCCATTTCATTTTTTGAAATTGGGGCATTTCCAATATTGGTCTTTACCTTAAACTCTATGTTTAAATATATGAGTTAATGCCCTACTGGTACTTCTTTGTGCCAAACAGATAATGAACATGTACATGTACCTGTATTTAGTGAACATGAAACAGGATGAGATCCCATAACACAATAGGAAATGAGTTATTTCCCTTACCCATATTCAGAGTCAGAATCCAGATTTATAAACTCAACAATTGTTTCATTATAGATAGTGTTGTATTAAGGGAATCGAGGTATCAATACTGAGATTTTAGGCCCATCCGAATATGACGCTGCAAAACAGGAGCATTTTTATATGGACCTCCTTCCAAAAAAAGAAAGTGTAGAGCCCTTTTCAAAGTATGCAACACCCTTCTCGCTTCAAACAAACGTTATTTGACAATTCCCAAACTGAACTATTGATAATTCTTTCAGTTTCATGTAGTCGATGAATGATGATGGAAACTTTACAAAAAAGCTTCAGAGTAGTTGAAGTAAAAGGTTGCAAAGCATATTTTTGGCTCACTCCCGAACCGTTTATTTAATTGTAGGTGACATAATTATTTTGGCCTAGAAATAGCTGTCCAACAAAATTGATAAAATTGAAATTTGGCTGACAATCTGTGCTGGTGTTAAACATTTTAATAAAATCGTAAATGAGAAATTAATATGTCTTAATTATGATATGAAAGCCTTTGATTTAACCCCGCGATAAAGGCCAAAGCATCGACAGCGGAGATGTTATGTAAAAGCTGCAAATGTACATGTACCAAGACTGCCTATAGTGTACTGTATACAGGTGAACATGTACATTGTACATGTGTATGTAATAAATACAATCAAAGAAACTGAATTCAGGTTTGTGATCAATGCTCTTAAATGTACATGTAAATTTGCTAGATACTGACGATTCACGATTCACATATCAATGCTCAAAATTACATCAATACAGGTATTATCAGGTAATGTACATGTAAACTGCATGAAAAGAATATCACAAAAATAGTTGTACAGGAAATGAAAGAGATTTGCTAGGGCCTGTATTAGCGACCATTTGACTCACATAATTCGTTTACAAATTCTCTGGATCATTTCCAGCCAGATGGAACTGTACTTGGAAATTAGCGCTTTCACTTTATTCACATGACAATTTTTTATCATAATTAATTAAGAAATAAGTGAAAACAAAATTAAAACGAAAACAATTTGTAAATTATGTATGATTTATTCAAACTGTAAGTGATTTGAACAAGGTTATGTTTGTCAATCTAAACTACAATGCAAAACCTGGATGAGGAAACACAATGCCAAGGTTATTGTATGTCAATGTCTCATGCATTGTAGATTTGATTATCATTTGTGATATTGACAGCAATAACAAACTCGAAGGACAAAGGCGTACTGGTAGAAAAATGCAATGGTGATGGGGCGGGGGGGGGGGGGGGGGGGGGTTGGAGTGGGGGAGGATGGCAACTGAGAAGCCAAATGTAATAACTTTAATACATGTACTGTACATACATAGCATAGCTGGGTAATGTTGGAGCGCCTTGAGGACCTTGCAAGGTCGATACGTGCGCTATTTAAGAATCCAATATTATCATAAGTATTAATATTATTATTATAGTATGGAGCAAAACGAAGCCTCTGTAATAATTGTAGAATACTGTGTTTATAAAGTCATCCTTTCATAAAATGTACATGTACTATAGTAGTATAGTAGTTGACCATTGAATGATATTTAGGAAGAAAATTACATACATGTACATGTATGTACTGTGTGTGTGTTAAGTCCATAATCCCTAATGTAAAGTACATTTGTGTAGCCATAAATATTGGGGATGAACTACAGTAGGTGAATATGTACAGTACACTAAAATGCGATATCTGAACATGTCTACCACATTCATTGCCTCATATTGAACACGGACCACATGGAAATGGTCTGTGGTTTTGTAGTTGACCATTGATAAATACGGGAAGGAAATTGCAACACAGCTATACATCTACATTCTACATTGCATTTAAGTCCATATCAATCCGACACGTACTACTAGTACAGTATGTGTAATTACAAGTACATGAACCAGTACTTCATGTCTACATGTACATGTACAGGTTGCAGTATACAGTAGTATGTCTTATAGTGCAGTTTTGCTCCTCTGGCAAGCTCCTTGGTCAATTTCCAACATTAACAAAAGTCCTAATCTGAACCCTGGACCTCAGATACTCGATACTAACCCTAAACCTGACCTAAAACTCTTGCAACCCTAACCACTATCCTATACGTAGGTTTAACAAACTAGCAATTGTCATCGCAGCACATAATGTTGAACCATCCTTACACTTTTTTACAGCTTGGAATGAAAATACTAAAATGGAGGCTTAGATGTAATCTGAACAAAATACTACATTTAAAGGTCATGGTGAAAACAGACTATGGGAGGGTCCGTGGTTTTAAAGTTGACTATGGATTGATAACGGAAGGAACTTGCGACAAGTGTGTACATGTATGCCCATATCCCGATGTGTAATTTTGATTATCTTGTCAAGATGTACAATGTAGGCTTCACTGTTGGGGATGGACTACAAACAGTATAATGTATTGTGGTATCTGAAACAGGATACTACATGTACTGTATATTACTAATTCATGGTGAAAATAGACCACGTGGAAGGGTCCATGGTTTTGAAGTTAACCATTTATTGATAGAGGAAGGAACTTGCAAAGCGTAAGTCCGCATTAATACAGGAAGGAAGACAAGCAAGAAATAGGATTTCAAGCATCCAATTCTTTTTTAGTGACATCCTGAAATATATGAGTAGAACCTACAATGTACAGATTCAAATAAGGCCTATGACGTGTATTTGAGAAAAGTCTAACTACATGTAGTTGAATAAACCACATGTAAGCAAAACAAAAGCCTGGGGCAGGAGTCTAAAAGCTTATCCAATGGGTTTTTCAACACACACCTATAAAGGACCCAAATCAACACTGGAGTTTGAAAGACTACCATACCATAGGATTCATAAGATATGGGATATCAAAAATGTAAATTGTATTGATTGAGGTCTCAAATAAACATACCGGTATCAGGGTTGCACAGTAGTTTAGCCTTCCAGTTTAATACAGGAAAAGCAAAATCAATAAGAATTTGATGGTCCTTTGCGCAACTGGACGAGGTCACCACTCAATATTTGCATAGTAAATGTGGTATTCGTCCCAGTCCCACATACTCTCACTATTGTTTGCGGTTGATCTAACAGTAACTACACAATTTATTACTCTGGCTAGAAGGCTCCCAACAGCCTGCAATTTAGATAGAACTATTCTTATCACAAATTGGGACTGTCATCAGGAAGAATATGACTTGATATGTATACACCAACAGTAGAACAGAAAAGATTTCAACTCACCAAGAATTTGTCCTTGTTTTGCTCGACGATTTTCTTGCTGCCACACAAGAATTGCCACGCCCGACCTCTCAACGAAGACGGGATACCTTTCCGACATCTTTCTCTCACCTAGATACGGCCAGGCAATCAGTAGGAAAAGACGGCAAAAACAATATTTACATGTAACTGCACAAATATATGTCTAGTTACATGTACATGTAGATCTGCACTTCTGCAGGGAGATTCATTCAGCATCCCTCAGAGCAACATCATCCAAATGTAGAAGTTTTTACCAATTGATGACTAGATACCCAACATCGAGGAAGGGCACATATCTCCATTTATTTATTTATTTATTCAATTTTTCTTGCAAAATAAACACTTGTGCTTCCCATAATCTCCAGATTGGGGGAGGAGGGGGCAGGAAGCATGTATCAGTGTACCTCTGTATCTGTCATCTTTTTTGTGAACATTGCTCGTCTAGTATATTATTGGTCTATTTCATCTACCACACACTCCCCCCCCCCCCCCCCCTCGCTTTACCTTCAAGTACAATATGCACACAAATATCTAGACGGGGAGGGTGATTCCCTTCATAATTCCCAGAAAGGACTTTTAAAATCTCTTGCTTTCCAAGTAAATTAATCTTTCTTTCTTTTTATATTTTACCTTCTTTGGTTTCTTAGTCATCCACTTGTCCCAATCATCAATCATGTCCAACCACTTCAGCTCTCGTTTCCTCAAGATCTCGATCGGTAGCCCCAGCTCACTGCACAGAAACAAAAAAATTTATCAGCCATTTCCTTCTGCATCTACATGTATATTTAACATGCACAATAGTGAACTTGGCAAAATTAAATGCACGATATTTGGACTTGTTCACGTAAAATGCCCAGGTAGATGTATGCAATGTGTATAGACTTACCCTGTACAATGTATGTACATGTACATACTGTTCATCTGATGTGTGTCTACATATTGAATTTATACTCGAGTCAATATTCATTAATTGCATTTAAACAATGTACAATATACAGGTACATGTACAGTTACAACTTCATCTATTAAAATAATAAGCATGTTGACATTAAAGGTAATACAAAGTTTTGGGAAATTTTGAAAATTGGGTGGATGGTGATTCTTTACAATTTTGTTATATTTGGATGCCCTTGTGGATGTATTATAAGCACTAGAAACTTGAGCCCCTAAAAAACTTCTGCTTTCGAGAAAAATTGAATATAAAAATTTACCGGTGCTCCCGGTAAATTTTGATAAATTTCAAATAGCGCCTACGGCCGTTCAACGGTAGCTGCGACCATGAAAATCTCAGAATATGTAGTTGTGATATATAATTTCAAAACGGGAATAGCTAATCGGTCGATTTCAGTCAAGAAACATTGTTTTACAGCTTAATTAATATCTTGAGCTTGAGAGGGAGCTATACAACATAAAGAGTTTATTATTTACAATTCAATAACTTTCAATTCCATTTCAACCGCCACAATGATCACTGAATATTGTAGGATCCCATATGCTTCCAATATGTTCATTTGAACCAAATTCATGACCCCATACAAAAACTTTGTATTACATTTAATATTCCTGTACAATATATCAAAGGTTTTGTACTATTGATATGATGAAGCAAAAACTGACTGATTTTGGCACCTTGTTGTACAAACATATTGTACCGCCTTCTACAAATAAAAAATGAAAAGCTCAAAAAACAGACATTCATGAACAGAAAAATATGTTTAAGGGCATTTTGTGTCTACAGTATTAGTGTGTGTACACTGTGCATTGTAGCATGTATAATGATTGTCACATAATATGCATTATGAAAAACCTACATCTAGACACATACATTTTCTTAAGACCAGCATGGCAGCATATGCACTGTATTGAAGTGTATTTGTCCTTCATTCGATGACTCACATTTGAGTCAAACTTGAAACATTTTTCACTAACGCTAGGAAAAAATATATATTCCAACGGTGTACATGTATATTAAATTACCAGTAATTATATAATTTTAAGGCAACTAGAACCAAAATGTAGTATACATACAATGTACATGTACATGTACATGTAGTAAAACGCCATCTAAAAAGTAAAAATTGTTCTTGGCTTGCAGTTACTGAACTCGAGTGATTCATTTTCTTAGGAGATTGAATTATCTCACAAGAAATCAAATTATTTATCTTGAGTTGTCCCAGGCAGTTTAATTCAATAAGCACAGCTAGGAATCGAATCCCTGAAAAAGTCCCTCTGAAGAAGACACTCTAAGCTCCACTTTAATGATCTAGAATTTGTGTTTTAAGTATGAAATATTTAACATCATGTACAGTGTAGTCCCTGCAACATCAACTAGAATGCTTGCTTTTTTTTCTCCTTTTCCTTTTTTTAGTCAATAACATCTTGATTATTTTTAGGAGCGGTATGTTTAATCATGAGTTTTTAGTTATTAATATTTAATATTAGGCCTACTGTAAGTGCTGTGAAAGACGACATGGACTACACATATTGGACTTGTATGATGGTATTCTTTAGATTTTAGGCACAGTATGTAACATAAAAAATACACAAGGTGTACACGTTCAGGTGTACATACATATATCATGTACAAAAATGTACATGTACATTACGTGATACACTTTACCTACACATGTAATACATGAGCTGCATGAAAATACACCTACTGTGCATGCATGTCAAATTTTTGCACACACTTTTTAATAAACATGTACAATGTATATATGTACATGTCTATGTATGATGTATGGTAGACCAGGCTCGACACATGTTGTACCTTTAATCAATACTTGTGGCAATGCTGTATAAATAGAGCACAAAAGGTCTGTCTGTGTCATTCATTATCCCTTCCTAAAGAGTTATCCTCATGACCTTAACTTCTATTATCAGGGAGAGCGGGCCAAGAAAGATAATACATGTAGGCACGTCTCCATCATCTCTAGATTGCCAAATAGCCCGCTATTTCTGATTTGGGAAATAATCCTGAAGTTACAAATCGCGCCTTCATCAGCTCGAGATTCGACCTCGAAACTTGAAACTCGACCTTGGGAAATTAGATTGAGATATTTTGCTCAGCGTTAGCGTACTGTATAGTGCGAGTCTTCGGTCTGGTGAATACGCACCGGACAAATACCTGGATATCTTGCCAAATAGTGGGATATTTTAATTGCAAACTATCCCAAGATATCGTGGGATGACAATCCCGACCAAATATCCGTGAATTGCTTCTTCGCTCTAATGAAGTCGCAAATTAGCTGGATAGTTTGCAATCAGGATAGTTCGAATAGCTGGATATTTGGCAATCTCGAGATAGTGAAGACAGGCCTAATGTGAATAGTTTAGGGGGGCACGGCAACACCCATGATACTGGTGGGGGAGGGCATGTGATGTTTTCGAGACACGAGATAGGAAATGTATCAGGTACGCAAGCCGATGAATCACCTCCTCCACTCCTTATAGTCCCATGCATAGAGAATTCTGGTGGCCAAGTACAATGTATGCGTGCATGGCCCTAAAAATAGAATCATGTTCTACTCCCTTCTACATCTTCATGTGTTCATCAATCATGTATAATAGTATGTACATGTACTGTACTTCATGTACTTCACATTACACTCAGGCTGATGTAATGTACCTACATGTACTGCTTAATCTTCATGTCAAATACACCGCTTCATTGCAGAGTATTACTTGGAGACTGATGTAATTACATTTACATACTGTACATGTACCAGTGGCATAGCAGTGGTCCATCATTGAAGGGGCACTGGTATCATGAGGGATTGGGAGGAGTAGTCGAATGACTGGATAAAAGGCAAACTAGGAGAGGGTATAAGATGAGAGTCAACCTTCCTCCCCCTCCACCTTTTTCTCTCCTTTTCTCTCATTTGTTTTTTACCATGCCACTGGAGTAGAACACGTATCCCCTAACCCCCTAAGCTACGCCACTGCTTTAACACAAGTTTCAGTGGGATGTCCAAGAATTTAGACTTATAAGTAGTACGGTTTCAAGTAATGGGGCCCAGTTTATGACTGTAGAGATTTGAGATGTACAGTAGAAGACACAAAAGGCGTGTCTGCACTATCTCGAGATTGCCAAATATCCAGCTATTTGAACTATCCCAATCGCAAACTATCCAGCCAATTTGCGTCTTCATTAGAACGAAGTAGCAAATTAGCCGGATAGTTGGTCGGGATAACATCCCAAGATATCTCGGTCAAAATTGCAAAATATCCCACTATTTCCGAACTGGCGGGATAGTTTGCGAACCGTCTTCATTAGACCGAAGTACGGAGTCAAATATCCCGATCCCATCATGCACAACGATTTCCGGTTTTCCGTGTTAACTAGTTGTACTAGCGCGCGCACATGCGATCTATACCGCTCAGCGGTGCATGATGGGATCGGGATATTTGACTCCGTTCTTCGGTCTAATGAAGACGGTCGCAAACTATCCCGCTAGTTCGGAAATAGTGGGATATTTTGCAAACTAGACCGAGATATCTTGGGATATTATCCTGACCAACTATCCGGCTAATTTGCTACATCGTTCTAATGAAGACGCAATTAGCTGGATAGTTTGCGATCGAAATAGTTCAAATAGCTGGATATTTGGCAATCTCGAGATAGTGAAGACGGGCCTAATGTGTGCAGTATTTTTGTTTGTTTACTTGTTAGTGACTCAGTTCCTACAGTGTAGTCCGATTCCGAGGGTCAACAATTCATTTCCTTGCTGGAACTGCAGATTTCCCTTGTACTATAATCCCATATCAAATAAAAATATATTTACTGTGTGTACTGTACTGTACATGTGTATAGTTTGTATCCTCTGTACTTTAGGCACACATGAACAGTTTTCCTAAATGGGTGGGTATGTGCTATTTAATATGTATTCATTATGCACTTTACATGTACACTGTACATGGATCTACATGTAGCAATATGACTTTTCAAGTTTTCAGATTTTACAGAATAACAAAATTTCTGTCCCATATTCAAATTTGCATAATGTACAAATATGTCTTTCCTACATATAAGTCTTCCCAGACTTTCTTTTGTTTTAGGGCCTACATCAAAAACTGAATTTATTGATATCAAAAACATGAATCTTACTTTTTTTCATACACAATGGGGAAGCAAGTACACTTGAATACATTATTACATGTAAACATACAATACATGTACACCTGTATGTACATTAAAATTGATAAGAAGAAAGAAACAAATTGCCACAAACAGGTACCACTTCAATAAATAATAGAATGTTTTCACTGGCTTTCATGAATTGCTCCCATCCAATGTACATGTATGCAAGCGCCCACTCCCCCCCCCCCCCCCTTAAATTCTGGAGCCAAGCAACACCCCTATTGTTACCAAAGGCATTTATACTTACCCTCCTGTGAACTGCTTTCCTCCTACAAATCCATAGCGATCCGTTTTTGGACCATCCTCCTCGTCCTCGCTCAAATCACTGTCCACCAAATCCATCCCACCGGTAGCCGAGCCGTTACCGTAGGACGACGCCCCGCCCGTCATGGAATCATTCCCTATCGAGGAAGCCCCACCCGTCGCGGAATCATTCCCTATAGATGACGCCCCGCCCTGCAGTGGCTCGATGCCATTCTCGTCTTCACTAGATGGTCCCGGGCCGATGGAAGAGCCGGCGTCATTTTCAATTGACATGATCGCTTCTTAAAATGACACTGTTCAGGGTTGCTATATTGCTTGGGGATTCAGCTGGAAGAGTAGAGTATTGATTGCAGAGTCATAGAAATGGCAATTGGTAAAAACAGTGCAGTAAGCTGGTGTGTACCATTTCATAAATCTCTGCTTCGTTAGAGATCTCAGGAAGATGTTGATTGAATGAAGTGGTCCATTTGGTACTGACTCTTCAATTTAATCAGCTTGTAAATTCCAACATCTTGTTATTTCATGTTGGTATCCTTATTGATTTTGTAGGCCTAGAAGAAGTCTGAAAGAAAAGAAAATTATGGGAAATCATGTAACTTAGCATGTACATGTACATGTAACCTAGAATATCTCAAGAAAAATAAATCATTGTTTTCTCATCCGCATACATGTACGTGTACTCGTATTTGGTACTGTACTGTATTACTTACAACGTACATGTACGGTACATCATACATGTACAGTTGTAGGTCATCATCATCAGGCAGCTACATGTACAAACCATCTACCACAAGTCAACAAAGTTGCAACACCAATGGCAATGTGCGCTTGTGCTAGGGAGTACATTATAATATACTTTACCCCTTGAAACCCTTACACATTTTAAATAATCTTGTAGGGCCTAGCCATTATCTATCGCATAAAAAATACAATCAATGTAGTGGAAGAGCATCGTCATAATGATCATTATCGAATACTGGATGTACAGTGTACATGTAGGCGTTGGCCTGTAATTTCTGGTCATTACTTCTAGGCATCGTCACTTGGGAAAGTTAGTACCGGTACGTGTACTTGGTGCGCTTGCAAGAGGAGTCAGAAATATCATTATGCTTGTTCCACTTCCAACATAATTTTTTTTTATTTAAGAACCCTTTTGACATGTTTGGTGGTTTTGTTTGCACGTGGATTGGAGGTTACATGTTTGAAGGGTTGATACAATGAGCTAAATATAGAATAGGAGACCAATTAGGTCTACAAATAAAAATATTAAAACATCCTTCAAATTAATAAAGACTTCAACTTCAACAGGTAGAATCTAGACTAATTTGCATAACAAAAATAATGCCATAAACAAATGAAAGACAATTAACAATAACAGCTGGTGATTTCGGAACAATGTCAACAAAACAAGGATGAGACCCCGGAAGTATTCTCACAACACAATCACGGCATTAGACATTGTCAGATATCAAACAAACTGTCACATTAAAGAAATCAAAACAATATCATGCACTGTCGTTGGCATTGCAAATATATCCCACGGTCTCACTCTCGCTCTCAGTCTCAGCTCAGTCTCAGCTCAGCACCATGACGAGTTTAGCTTGGTGACAATTAAATCCTTTCAAACCAACACGTTGAATTAAAAGATTTATGAAGATTAGTTTCAGCTGCTGTTCATTCCGAAGCTCAATACCCACCTGAAAGAATCACTGCAGCGTAGACATCCTAACTTAACTGTAGACTACATGAACTATATTGCACAAATACCGTTTCAGTCGACAACATCATAGCCGGCGCTCATGTAAAAGTGGGCAGGTATAAATTCCAAGAGCATTTTGCAATAGTATTTACGCGAACTGCGATGCGGCATGCAGCGCGCGCTTCGCTCGATCAAAACAACGGGCTCTATTTGCGCGCGCGCGCGTACTGTATTCGCTGCAGCTGCCCTGCGCTGCCTGCTCGACCAAAACAAAAACAACAAAAGAAAAGTCCATGCATAGACACGTGTACGTAAGTCAAAATCGACGACCCACGTTTTCCATGCATAGATGTACTGTATGAATGTAGATGCACTACACAGACATACCGGTACACGCAGGAAATGGTGAAGCATTCACTTGTACATGGACAGACTAGACGAGCTGGGTTGAGCGAGCTAGCCGTATGACAAATGTGCACCGAGGGGACACACACCTATCGAATGCGCCGTATCTTTTTGGCTTGTTGGCTTCAGTCTGTGACTCACAAAATACTACATAGCTTAGTATTTCGTTGGTTGCTGGAGAGGGAAACGTATTTAGGCGTACGGGTCCACGCCCAATTTCATTAAATCGATTATATTAAAATTGAATCTAAGTATCAAAAATAGGTTGCACATGATTTAATGATCGACAAAAAGTGTATATATATGAATTATAAATATTCAACTACAAAAGAATAAAATACAGTTTGGGCTCGTCTTTAGCTTCCTAATAATTGGAAAAAGAAATATTAGAAAGCAGGTTAAAATGAAGAAAAACATTACGTTTCGGGCCAGAGTGTCTGTTCAGAATAATACAGCTAGGGAATACAGGCTTCAGTCCCAGGGGTCCGGTGTCCCGGGGGATCTTTGGTTCAGTGGACGGGGGTGTACCGCTCAAGCCTCGAAACCCCATTATGAGGGGATACTTTTCTCGAGAAAAAAAAGAAGAAAAAAATCACAATTTTCGGGTGTTTTCGGATGTTTGCATGGGAAAACACCCCTCAAAATTCGAAATTTTGCAAATGTAAAAAAAAGGGACCCATGCATTTATAATGGCATTTTGTTAAAAGTGGGACCCATGTTAAGGGATTTTCCCCCCGAAACAGTTACCCATTAGAGCGGCACCCCCCCCCCCCCCCGTATGTAGTATGGGAGGGGGGGGGGGCTTCAGTGAGATGTAATATTGCTATCAAAACTATACAAAAGACAATTAGGCCTATGGGCACCTGATGCCAGAATACGGTATGTAACTTTCTGCTGTATGGGGTGCAGCGAGCATTTTCATTAATTTGATGTTAATTCATATCTCTAACTTATACAACTAAACCTGTAGACTATTCACATTTCTGCGTGTATACATGAATAACACTTTTTGATGACATGCGCATACTAAGAATGCTATTTAAAGCTTATCAACACTAGTGTGGCTAGGAGGGATTATACCACACACTAGGTCACTGACAGGTGGCTATCTCATCAACTCAGCTCTCGAATAACATGAGAAATTCGGAGGATCATGGGGGACCAACAGGCACCGATTGGGGGAGTTTTCTATATAGAGGGAGTAAGTAGTTACATAGGAAAGTGGGGCTTTAACACCTTAATCGATTTCGTCGAAAATGGTATCAAAATGTGTGTAAGACTTAAGGGAGAAAAGGCATAAATCTCCGAAAATGTGGAGGGGGTGGTCCCCAGTCACCCCTCCCAGTACAGTGATTTAATTGCGCCACACCCTGTCCAAACAAATAAGGTGATTTTCTTGCTGTGCTGAAACATAGGCATCATCATTGGCTTTGAGTTTTTGCCCCCGGGCCCCCCTTCACCCCCTAATACAAAAGTCCAGATACAATAATGTGCTAAATTTGGGCAGGGGTGGTCGGGGTCCATACCAATGTTTTTGGCAACCAGGCGCGGATCCAGGATTCCTTAGGAGTGGGGGGGGGGGGGGGAGGGGCCAATTTTTAAGTTGTGCGAGCCAAATATTGGTGACCACTAGTTTGGGGGCGTAATGAGCGAAATCTTTTTTTGGAGGGGGGGGGGCAGAAAAAAATCCGCATCACTACCACTCTTACATGAAGGCCCTGCTGAACGTTTTTCAAAGTGGTTCGGAGGAGCGGCTTAAGTAGCTATGATCAGGTATAGAGCGTAGCGTAAATTGGCGTGGGGTCTAGGGGCAAAGCCCCGGCGGGGGTCAAGGAGCGGAGCCTCTGAAGCTCAGGGCGTATGGGCATTTAATTATGGTCAGATGAGCATATTTTTATACCTTATTTGTAACCTTGGCAGGAAACCAATTGACATGGGGTCCACAGGGGGTGGAGCCCCCGGAGGCTCAGGAGTTTTAGGCATTTAATTAAGGTCAGATGAGCTTATTTTGATACCTTATTTGTGACACTAGCAGGTCACTATTTTGCATGGGGTCCAGGGGGCGGAGCCCCCGGAAGCTCAGGGGTTTTAGGCATTTAATTACGGTCAGATGAGCTTATTTTTATACCTTATTTGTGACACTAGCAGGTCACTTATTGGCGTGAGTTCCCCTTTCCCTTACCTTCATTTCTCTCTCTTTTAAGTTTACTGGGGGGGGGGGGGGTGGGCAAGGGCGTTTCGTCCCCTCCCCATCTGGACGTTGTTGGTCGAATTAAACGCAACGGATCTCCCCTTCTTTTCATCCCGTTTTTCTTCTTCCTCTTTGTTGTTCCCTTTTAGCTCTCCTTTCCCTTCCCCCTTTTTTGGCGGGGGGGGGGCCTTTCGGCCTTCTCCCCGGATCCACAACTTCTTGGCATGAAAATCGCAACTGATATCATTCTTTTCTTTTCTCCTTCCTCTTCATTTTCTTCCCTTTATCTCCTCTTTTCCTTTTTTTTTTAAATTTCCCTTTCCTTCCTTCTCTCTTCTTTTTTTTTGCTGGGGGGGGGGCAACAGCCTGGGAGGCAGGCCTTTTCGGCCCCCCGATCTCCTTCTTTCCTCCCTTTTCTTTTCTGCTTCACCTTCTTTCTTTCCCTTTCTCTCCTATTTCCCTTTCCCTTCTTTTCCTTCTCTCTCTCTCTCTCTCTCTCTCTCTCTCTCTCTCTCTCTTTCTCTCTCTTTTAGCGGGGGGGGGGGGGGAGGCCCCCTGCCCCCTGGATCCGCACCTGTGGGCAACCGCCAGCATGATACACAATCTCGCTCTCGGTCTCAGTGGAGCACAGGGGCACAGGGGCACCCCTCCCCTCCCCCTTCTCGAAAGGTATGAGGCCGGAAGATAAATAAATAGGAAAAACAGAGATTAGGGGAGAGTGGAAAATGAAAATGAAAAAAGAAAGAAAAAACTTCCCATACCTACCCCTGAAAAAATGGCCTTCTTGGTTCGCATTTCATCTATCATAAAAGATCGATGCCCCCCCCCCCCCCCCCCCGCCTCATGATACCGGTGCCTAATGAATGTCTGGAACAACATTGCGCCACTGTATAATCCGCCGTACTAATGATGAAGAGGATATCCCCCCCCCTTACACTGTCACAACCCCCATTCTTTAATGATCCGTTTCTGATCCCCCCTTATTATCTTGTACACTCAACCCTGATCACTATACATACACCCCCCCCCCCCCCCCCCCCCACTCAGTGTTCTTTAGGGTACGCGTATAGTTCCCTCCTTTTGAAAACACCCCCCTAAGTCCTTGTAAAGTCAATACGGGCTGGATTTTTGTGTACCACGAGCCGGACTTTGGTGCGTGAAAAGTCCCCCTTTACCGGGCATTTTGGGAACACGCATGCGGTCTCTCCGACCCCGGAATAGGGGGGGGGGGGGGCGGTACGTACCCAATTTCATTTTATCCTACCAATTTTCTCTTGAAAAATTCGTCGCTGTTTTCACGAAGTGACGGTAGTGAAAAAAAATTGCATTCACTTTGCGTTACGATTTTCCTCACTACCGTCACTTCGTGAAAATAGGGACAAATTGATCATGAATATCATTATTATAAAAATATATCCGCTTTCCCAATTACTCGATTTGTTATGAGGTTATGGTATTGTTGTTTTTCTTGTTGTTTAAAAAATGTGACGCAACTACTTCGAAAAATCAGCATAAAGCAATTTTCGCTGGTGAAAATTGCTTTATGTTGGTATACATCACCTTTTGAAATGAGCGAACATTGCTTGAAAAGCAGATAGCACATGGTACAAAATATGACCCCAAATATCCACAGATCTTTTACACATGGAGAAGTTCCACTTTGAGCATCTTAGAATAATAACTGCCAAAGTCCTTGTGCTTCATGAATACCTTTTGTTTGCCCTCTTGAAAAGAATAATTCCACCTGCGTATAAATGAATAATGTTATATCTTTCATGAGCACATAATTATATCGTGTGAGAAGGGAGAGTGAGAGTGAATGAGGGCCGGGTATAGAAGAGCATATAGGAAATTTGAGAAACGGTCTGAGCTGGAGAAAAAAATCAGAGGGAAAAAGATTGAAGACAGTCTGAGAGAGAGAGGAAAAGAGAGAAAGAGGGAGAGAGAGAGAGAGAAAGAGAGAGAGAGAGAGAGAGAGAGAGAGAGAGAGAGAGAGAGAGAGAGGGGAGGAACAGAGGAGAATCTAACATGTATTGTATTGCATTTCTTAAATTTCATTGATGTACATCAATATTCTGTTTATAAACATATAAATCAATTTGCAATGCAATGTAACAAATCAATATTCTGTTTGGAAACAAATATATCGAATAAATCAATTTACAATGTAATTTAACAAATGAATATTTTGTTTGTAAAAAATATATTATATAAATAAATTTACAACGCAGTGTATATAGCAGAACCGAAGGAAAATGAAAATTAAAGTAGACGAAGAAAAAGGAGAAGGAGAAGAAACAGAAGAAGAAGAAGGAGAAGAAGAAGAAGAAGAAGAAGAAGAAGAAGAAGAAGAAGAAGAAGAAGACAAATACTGAAGAAGAAGAAGAACACAAGAAGGAGAACTCATGTTGTGAGAAGCCGGTGTGGTTGTTGCTGATGAGTTCATGACATTTTTTCTGCTTTAAACTCTACCCTCAGTACAAAAAGTTTTCTTGTAAAATAGAACTAGCAAAGAAGAATCAAAGATCAAAAGAAAACTTGTACGTCAACTGAAA